TAAAAAAAAAAAAAGCAATACCATTCTAAAGCTTTTTTTAAGTTAAAAACCCACGATGCTTATTCATCTGTCATTTGGTTATGTATACTATAACTCTTATATAGCTTTCTGCAGCATTTCTTTGAACCATTTTTCTCATGCATAATTTATAAAAGCATTCAGGCTAAATGCCAAGTTAACAAAGCTTTCACTATCAACCAAATGATCTACATCAACTTTGACAAAACAAACAAACAAATAAATAAATACCCAACCAATAATTTGCAGCCAAAGCAAAAATATCATTCCATGATTATTTTAAAGTATGGTAATAAAAATTCAACTGGAAAAGTACTCGGAGAGTGCAAGCTTCCACCAAGGCAGCTCAATTTTCATATTTATTATTTCTTAATAAAATAATGGATTATCACTAAAAATAATTTATTCTAAGTCAGGCAGCTTCTGACACACCCTGAAAATTTCAGCAAAATCCATCCAAAACTTTTTGAGTAAGGCTGTAAACAATCAAAATAGCAAAGGAAAAAAAACCTTCGCAAAGACAACTAGCAACTAACTAATATATTTCTAGTTCTACTCTGACTATCTGATCCAGTGTTCATAAAATAAAACAATAATTTTCATGTTTCAGCAATGTGCTAGCTGTAAACATGCATTTATTCTGTACTCATTGATGCCAAAAGAGACATTCTTAAAGCAAGGTCGGGTGTGTGGAGAATTTCAGTGCTGTAAATTAATCAGTCTTATAAAAATCAGCTTTTTACAAGGGTTAGTAATAAAATATTGCTAGGGATGACTCTGCTTTGTACAGTGACATAACAAAATACGATAATCATGCTCCGCCAGTTATATGGAATTGTGCTTCATTCTATTGCCACTAGAGGGTGATAAATCAAGACAAACCCTTTAGAAAATTAATTTTAATTTCTGTACAATCTTTGCTAATTATTACTGCAACTAGGGAAAGATATCAAGGATAACCAAGAAAAATCTCAGGTTAAAAAGCCAAACCAGAAAATATGCAGAGATAATTGAATTTCTACACTATAAATAGACATTTCAAGCATGTATTATCTGCAAAAGATTTGCAATATCCCATCACAGAGGTAAAACAAGGCATGCAGCTGACATGCTGCTCAGAAGACAAAGACACACCCACCATCAAAAACTATTAAGCTGTTGGATTGGTCCTCATCAGAGCTACGTCTGAATCGACCATTTCTTTCACTAGACCCTGAAATGAAGTTTAGTGGCAAAAGCATGCGATTAGAAAAATGTAATAGAAACACTTATTGATCTCTTTTATAGGCCTCTGTTCTATGTAAGAAAAAGTACAAAAGATTAGAGAAAAAAAATAACAATTATTCTTCTTGAATGAAGAAACAGATCAATGCATTGTAGGGCTTAATATGAAATGATGATAAACTGTCCCATAGTAGGTTTTCATTGCTCACCATAGGTAGCAAGCTAGCTGCTTATGATTTTCATCTACTTCAAATATCATTAGTAAAACTAAAATTCAACATCATTTGAAGCAAATAGTTAAGTGTTGAGTCCTAGGTCAAATTAAAAAAATAAATGAATATTTTTTAATAAAATAAATATATAAATAAATAAATAAACTTGTTATTTAGCCCTTTTCCTGTTCAACTGAAGAACCACTGACTAACACTTGAAATGTGTCACTTACAGAACAAGTGCAACAATTTGCTCCATGACAATAATTTAACATTGGTTTACTTGATTTTCATTTGGAATAAAAGGTCACATTTTATTTATTATATTTACTTACTGAGTTAAATGTTGCAGTAGTGTTTTTTTTTTTTTTTTTGACAAGTTAAAGGCTTGCAGTATCATGTTAACATTGAAAAATTGTTGAATGTAAATATCTTAGTAAAGTTATGTGTGAACAGAATGGCTATAATACAAAAAGAAATATGCAAAATAATGGTTAAATTGAGAAAGAAAGAAAGAAAGAAAGAAAGAAAGAAAGAAAGAAAGCCTTCAGTTCAACTTTGTCAATGAATCAGCTAAACTAAATTTATCAGAAAATCCCATATTAATTAAAGAGTACTGTGACACTGTACTTGTCAATTATCAATTATTCTGTGGTCTGGAAAATTAGAAAATTATGTTGTAAATCAAGAGCATAAAGAAATGGGGGTTAATTTTTTTGTCCTTTGGAAAGAGGGGAGGGTGAGCTTACCCCCATCCCTTACTCTGCTGCATAAAATTATGAAGAGTTGCTGGATATGGAATTATTTTGTGGCACTGGATAAAAATACATGTCTGGTGTGTGATTTCTTTCCCTTTTATGAAGGAATTAAGGCTGGAGCTGAATATTTTTCTGAAATAAATTGGTTGGGTGGGGGAAGGGGCAGAGAGAGAGAGAGAAAGAGAGAGGAGTGAATTCACTGTGTAATTAGTGTGACCTAGTTAGATTTCCATGAGGATCCTTTCCACTATTTCCTCTATCCTTTCACCCTTTTTTCCTCAAGTTGGAGGGGAGAGTGCGACAACTTTACCTAACCGCTACCATACCATTACCATAGGCAACACCAATACTTACATCTAGATCATACTTAGGTCTCCAGTTGAGCAATTTCCTAGCTTTTGTACTGTCTCCTAATAGCTCGTCCTGAAAACAAGAGACATCTATAGTTCAGACACAGTAATGAAAACCAATACCTTTTGCCTATTCCAAAATATGATGCATCAACTAACAGAAATGATCATACCAATGTCAAACTAAGTAAATGGGAAAATAAAATATACTTTCACACAATATGTGACTAAAGAAAATGATAAAGATTTGATAAAATTCAATCACTAAACACTTAAATAAAAATGTCACTTCACATGCGCTATACTCAAATCCAAAACTACTGTACCCAAACACTTATAACTGGCCGACAAAAATGACTGGTTAGTCACAGTGAAACCTGTCATTAACCCAAGTGACAGCTTAATTTAGCCACATACCATCTCAGCAGACAGGGGACAATCTCATTCCCAGTATACTTACAACTTCTGTAGGCCTGTAGTACTTGGGGTTCACTCTGACCCTCACTATGCCTGTGGCTTTATCTCTGCCTATTTCATTCTCTCCTTTGCCTTCCCATCTACAAAGTATGACAATTCATTCATTCTAAACCTCACAGTACTTTCTAACCAGTGAATATGACATATGACCATGTTAACTGACTTGAATTGCATTAAGTTTATGTAGTTTTCATATTTTGTATTGGAAGGAGAAAGCAGGCAAATTGCTGATATTATATAATAACCAATTTTTGACATCTTTACACAACTGTTTTATGATGTTTTAATTGTGACATGTTTCTGCCACCATGATGCTTGTCCATCACAAAATCCACTGCAGCATCATGATTAAATGTCTACTTCATTCTTAAGATTTATATCTTTCTGAAAATTTTCTGCTTCCCTACAGCATGGTACTCACACTATTTCCACACCAACGTGTCTAAATGACGCCTCCACAAAAGCGCGTACACTGGTTGTCTGTCCCGTGGCTATGACAAAATCCTCGGGGGTGTCGTGCTGGAGCATCAGATACATGGCCTGCAACACATAATTATCATTCAATGTTATCTAGACTAAAAAACAGCATAAATAACATTATCATATACCAGGTCCCCAGCCAGTGATTTCAAAGGGGATTTCTTTATCTGAAAAAGTGGACCTTTTACCATGAAACCTGTGTGTACTTAGGGCAGACCTTTTCCAAGCTAAAGGGTGATTCTTTCCAACCCTCTAAGACACCCCCCCCCCCCCTAGGCCTGTATGCTAAGCTTAAAATAGTCTCATATTTCTGTGATTTCAAGGTCTGTAAAATTCAATATTGCCCTCAATATAGACATTATCACCAAACACACTATAAACCCATCACAGAATCCATGTTTTTGACAAATCAGAGTGAAGGAAACAAATTTTTACTCAGAGGACTGACCAATCAGAGTAAAGGATACATATCATCTGCACCTAGACACATACATTGTCAGTATATAAAAATGATATAAAATATTACCTCCACATAATCTTTAGCATGTCCCCAATCTCTGGTGGCATTCAGATTACCCAGCTCTAGGATTTCTTGCTGTCCCAACATTATCTTGGCCACAGCGCGGGTGATCTTCCTTGTCACGAATGTCTCACCTGCAAAAATGTGATCACAATGAGCTCAATTGCTGTTAACATCCTTAAGTTAAACTCACTTTCAGGAATAATGTATGACATGAATTCAAGCCAGTTTTAAAGAGACTTAAGGTCAAAAATAAGAAAAAAAAAATATTTAAATATTCACAAACTATTATGTTTCACCCTAAAAGTGGAAATATGTTTTGCATGTTTCATAATACAAGAATATAAAATGAACCATGTTCTGTTTACAAATCTGACAACAAAACAGCTAATTTAATAGTCTAAACTTAAAGGCTCAAATAAAATGAATACACTATTAAAAACATTAAAGGGATAATAACTCTTTGTTTCGACCAAAAAATGAATTTTCCTGGAGTAAACAACAATTTTCCCATACTAACCAATGGTTATTAAATCCATTTTTACATTCAAAGTTAGTCCCTGGTTTTTTTCTAAAAAGTTTGGTTTTTTGTTAAAATCTCTTAAGAGATTTTAACAGAGTATAGCCATCAATGGAGGTCACGTGGTCTAAAGACAAGCCCAGATATCAGAATAATAGCTATAACTCCCGTTTTTTTTGTGGTAAAACAGAATATATTATATTTCTACGAGTTATTCACAATGTTTTTATTGCAAAATATAGATCTCATACAAAGAGTTATTATCCCTTTAATTCTTTTATGTCAGGGCTACTTTTTTCAGTATGTTGCAATTCTCATCTAAAATTAATTCAATGACCCTTATTTGAACAACAAAGATCAATAGCAGTCTTTGCTTTAACTATTTCACAGATAAGTCCTGCTAAATAATGAAAATGTCAAATTTGTTTAGCTTGCAAACTAACATGAGAGACAGCTTCCACTAAATAATAGTGAAGTTACAGATATACAGAGAAAAAATGTGTCAGGACAAACAGTTTTCCAAATATACATTTCAATTATTTTCAATAAGAAATTAGAGTAGCGTATATTTTACACTCTCCATGTCTGAAATAAAGACTGGATTTTCCCTTTCATACATTTACACAAATGCCTGTCATGCAAACTGAAATTAAAAATAGAAAGTTCTGAAGGATATAGAAGGGTGCCAGTTTACAGTGACAGGTAATATTAGCACACCTCTCCTCTGATTGTGGCTTTGTCAAATTGTTACTGCCATATTTATATCCTTTTCTTAGCAATAATCTACTAATCTGTTCCAAACTTGGGGAGTGGGGAAAGAAAATTATTTTCATCCTGGTCTTTGATGAAAATAAGACTGAATTCCCACAGATTTTAGATCGATCTATCCCCGTGGGGAGTCTCACTATATTACTGTCAGCTTAGCCGGCTTAAACGTCTGTTCTGCCTACTAAAAGCCGTAAGGGGGTAATTAACTTCCCTTCGCGCTCAGCTGATAGCAATTTAGCGTGAACCCCCAGGGAGTTAGGTCGATCCAGATGGATCGATCTAAATCTGTGGGAATGCAGTGTAAGATATTAATCTCACCTCTCCTTGGACTCTCATGATTAAACAGAATTCCATTGCAAGCAAACATGTTATATGCCTCCCTGTAGTTCACAATGATCCAGTATGCATAGAGTTTGGCACACCCTGTAATATAAATATAATACTTTGTTTTATATTGAGAAAGGTTTGGAACATCTTTGAATATCAACACAACACTATGCCATGTGATAATGCTCTATTTTACTTGTTTTTTTTTAATTTGACCTTTATCACTTTCAAAACTACTTCTAAAACTAACAAGGTATTAGTAGTTGTTATTAAATGTGTTATTCCCATTGTTAAATTATATCTCAGTGTAGACTGTATCTCATACTCAAATCATCTGGCTGTAAAGAGATAATGTAGCTGTTCATGATGGCCATTAATTTCAACAACTCTAACCAATTCCTGTTACAGGGACTTCACCCAGAACCAGCATTTCTAATTGAAACATTACCATAAGGGGACCTTGGATAAAATGGTGTTGTTTCCTTCTGGGGCACTTCCTGTACTTTGCCATACATTTCACTAGTGGAAGCTTGGTAAAAACGCACAGTGTCGGTCAGCCCGCATGTGCGTATGGCGTCCAACATGCGCAGTGTTCCTACAGCATCTACATTGGCAGTATACTCAGCTAGATCAAAGGAAACCTGCAAATTAGGCCAAAGGTCATATTATACATCATTTAGGGTACACAATTTGATTTTTTTTAAAGCCTGACCAACACAGAAAAGAAGTTTGTGACCAAACATGTATTTCAAAACTTGTTCGTTTTTTTTACCTCAACCCCATACATTTCATTTTACCTTTACATGGCTCTGAGCTCTTAAGTTATAGATCTCACTTCCTCACCCCACACACCCCTTACCTTGACATGGCTCTGAGCTCCTATGTTATAGATCTCACCCCCCCCCCCCCCCCCCCACCACACACACACACCCCTTACCTTCACATGACTTTGAGCTCCTAAGTTATAGATCTCTGTGGGTTGTATTTCACTGATAATCTTCACCAAACATGTGCTGTCTGTAAGGTCACCATAGTGGAGCTTCATGGCTGAAAAAACATGATCCAGTTGTAATATCATTTGTAGAAAGTTGCAAAGCACTGACATCAATGTCCTTTTAAAATTTTTAAATTAAAATGTGCAACTCTCACATATACATAATTTTAAAAATCATCTGACATGTGGTATTTTTCAAGGCTTATTAGTAATTATTGCCAGGAAGTTTATCCTCGGCTTTAAAAAAATTGCCTGCTCCAGGGTTGATATCACTTTTCTCAGGTTTGCAAAATAACATTCACCTCAGCCATTTTTTATTATAATGACATTGATTTTATACTGCGTATTCCCCATTAATATAACAGCACTGTAGAAAATCAATGCATGCTTATAAAATATGTTAAAATAAAAATCATGAAGTGTCTCGCCACTTCAAATACTTCTGCAGGTACTATGACAAAAATTCATCTGCCACCATATACTAATACACATTAGCATCAAATATTAAACCAACAATTATGTAAAGGTATAAACTAAGCATTTTGATGGAACTTAATAGGATTTTTGCATGAGCCATTTTATAGTATTTTTCCTCTATGAAATATATTTAACCCTCTGTATATTCTAATTAAACCAATTTAAAATTCCACTAATTAAGGTCTAGTGTGTCTAGCAGTAGGGGTTATAGCAAATTTATAACTCTTTTTCATGGAATATGAAAAAAGGGCAGAAATATTCTGAAAATATAAGATGCACTGGTTATTGTAGCATTTTCATTCTTCAATAATTTTTCAAAAGTCTGTTTTAAAACTGCTGCTGTGCAAGGCATTGTTAGACTGTTAGCGCAGAAGATTCACAAAAAAAAAAAAGAATAAAATCAAAAATCAAACAAAGTAGCTCTATAAAATTTTGAAAAATTACAAGTTACAGAAACCGACATGGCACAGAGTAATATATTACAGTTGAATATAAATATTAAATATATGCTTTAAGTAAATATGAACATATGTCATCTTTTATGTTTGCAAGTGCTTGTAATATCTGAAGTTGATTAAATATTCCAAAATTCCAAAAAGTTTTTGAAACTTATCAGAAATTAATCTTAACAAAGTCCTATTTTCTCTACACTGCATAAATTTTTTTGAAAATTCTTCTTCATGGCTTTATTGTGTCTACTCAAATCCAATTTGTTTTTTAGCCAGACACCCATGGTAATAAAAATTTAAAATTCATCATTCCCGCCGGCAGTAAAACATAAAACCAACACTCTCTGCATATCCAGGCTAGGCTATAATAAATTCTGTCCTATCTACACAGCATTTTTAATACAAAATATTAATTTAATTCAGTAAACACTGCATTATCAATAAAAAAAAGTGAAGGCACATCATCTTTGCCAATGGAAAAAGAATAGTGTAGGTCAAGTCAATGTTTGTAATAGTAATTAAATTTTATAAACCAGCCAAGAGGATTTTAAATGTAACTATCTCAGTGCAACAGAAAACAATCTATTGATAAATAAAGTACTTTACAGTATGTCATTCACAAAGATAAAGTTATAACCTCACAGATCTATCTGCAACAGATTTTACACTCTGCCAGAAATAAATCACTAATTTATTTATTATTTAATACACAAATGCAAAGAAACTGCTGTCCAAGTGGATAAATATAAATTATTAAATTATAGTCTCACATATCTGCTGGGATAGTCTAATACTGATTTAAGCTGTTAGAAAGAGTCTGTACTAGTAGCTGTTACTTTATGTCATACTTACACCCCTCCCTGTGTGATTTTGGGTCATCATATAAATGTTCGATACGCCCTGTGTTAAATGAACTAGATCGCCTGATGATGCCATGGACCTGGAAGTATAATACAAAAAGATATACATCTGATGCCCAGGGTTTTAAAAAATGTGTGGAAAGGGCAAAC